CCCAGCCCAGCCCAGCCCAGCCGTTCTGCTGGGACACAGGGACAGCTGGGTCCTTGATGGGTTTTGTTCCATCCAACCACACCGTGTGGGGCCATGGAAAAGCCTCTCCAAGGTACTTCCAAGGGTGGGAATGTGGTCTAGGACCACAGGGTTGAGCTCAGGGTCTACCCAGCAATTTTTGACTCTTCCTCTTCAAGACTCGTTGTGTTTTCCCCAGGAAGAAACAATGTACAAGGAGAGGGAACATCTCCATCACCTACGAGCTGCTCTGATACTGTTTGGTTGGAGATGCCTCATTATTGTAATGAATGAAATCAGATCTTTCAAACCCCTCTTAGGGCTTTGGGAAATGCAGGCGTTGAACTTCCTCTCTCAGGAAACCCTGGGCTAATAAGAGCTTTCTAGACTTGCTGGAGCTAAAGGAGTGGAGAAAGGAGCTCAAAATAAGCTGGAGTTAGGGCAGAACAAAATCCCGAGTGTGATTATTTAACCCTCTTTGTGGGGAGCAGCAGGGCGCTGATGGAGCCTTTAATGAGCTCCAGAGGCGCTCCCAGGGCAGGAATTGCAGGAATTGGAGGAATTGTGCCTGAAAGGAGCTGAGCTACTTTTAGTCAGGCACCGGTGGGGTGGGCTGGCAGCCTCAAAGCTGATCCACTTCCACCGAGGTCGATGAAAACTCATTAATTTCAGAGACTGGAGCATTAATTGGAGACCTGTTGGCAGAGCAGGGGGAGGCAGTCTGGAGAATTAAAGAGCAGAGCACACAGGACATCCTCCTCACACGGACCCTGGCGCTGGGGACGAGCACAGCCAGGTTCAATTCCTTACACAGGAGATCAGGTGGGCCACAAGGGTTACAAACAGGCTCTGTGTGTGTGGGTAACCATATTTTTACACCCAGAGAAAATGGATTTTATCCTCAATTAGTCCAAATCGAGGACAGCCCTTAGCGGGGCGCTCCGATGGCTCGGGATTTGCTGCGGTACAAATTGCAGGGCCTGAGGGTTCAAGAGGGGAACTGCCTCAATACCCTCCCAAAAATTCCATCCAAACCTCAGCCATGCTCAGGAGTCCCTGTGGGAGACAATTCCTGAGTCAGAAAAAGGCTTTTATGGAATCCAGGAGGACAGGGCTGCCTGTGTCTGCACAGAGCTCACATTTCCCAACTTGCTGGCACTTGGCTTCTGCTGGGTCCTTCAAGGGAACCAAAACACTCTGTCTGACCCAAACCAAACACATTGGAATGAATATTTAAAATATTTCCCTTATTTTTTCCAATTAAATGGAAACAAATATTATCATTTCTTGATATTATGAGGGCGTTTTGTTGAAAAAACGACGTTCGATTGTGTTTTTTGTGCAAGCTGTAACACAGCCCCTGGCCCTCCTGGAGCTGTCCCCGAGGGCTGGGGCTGTGTCCCCAGGCAGGGCTGGGCTGCAGAGTGGTCCTGCCTCAGGACCTGGCACCCTGCTGGACACAGCTCCAGGCTGGACACCAGGGGGTTGTGTTAGGGATGCTGCCAGACCCATCTCTCGTCTCAGTTATCCACAATAAATCCCTTTTCCTCACTTCAGGATGATGCTCCAGTGAAAAGCAGGGCATGGGAAAGGGATCTTGTGCAGGAAATGCCCCCCAGCCCCTGCAGCCAGCTCCATCCCTGGGCTGAGCACACAGCCAGGGGACCCCTGCAGCCCTTCCTCCTCCAGAGCACCATTAAATACAATTTAATGTATTAATTTATTGTGCAGGCAATCCTGCACAACGGGGAATTTCAGCCTGGCCCTTTCCCAGCTTCTTCCAGGTGTGGAAGGAGCTGCTCCAGCACCTTCAGCAAGGATTGTTTTATTGTGATATGCAGAGCTGAAACCCAAATCTGATACAGATATTGGATCAAACCTTGTACTCCGTGGCAATCTAATTTTATCCTGACATGTTGATTGCTCGCTCTTCATCTGTGGCTGCTGTCCCAAAGGGGGCTAAGTGAGAGGAGCTGCAATTTTTTTTTTTTCCTTTCCTGTAAGAAGATGACATGAAATAAATTCAGAAGAACACACACAAGAAAAATGTGGGGTTTGTTATTCACAAGACAGCTCTGAGGAGGGAAAAAATTGGAGCTGAGATTTGTGAGGGATGGTACAAAATATGATGGAATTTCTGACTAATAAATCACAGAAAACCATTCCAAACCAAGGGAACTGGTCCACGGAGAGGCTTTTGAAAATCACTCTGCATTGTTCTCCCTGCTTCCAGCAGGTGGGAAACATGGAATTTCTTGGGAAAGCCAGGCCTGTGACTCATGGTGTCTATGGGCAGCTGCTAAAGGGGGATTTACAGCTCACAGACCAACCAAATCCAACCCCCAAATTCTGGAATTTCCATGTGAGGATTTCCCTCAGAGGCACGTGCAGCACCTTCAGGGAGGGATGCTGAGCTTTGCCACAGTGGAGAATTAATTACCTGCCATTTAAACAAGGCCTTGCAAAAATTAAAAGTATTTTCACACATTTCCATGGGTATCAAAGTCCAGCTGTAAGGCTGAGGAATGGCAGCACAGGGCACAGCACCAGACCTGAACAGCAAAAGCACAAAGAACCCTTAAAGCACCAAAGCAAAGGCAGGCAGGAGAAGGAGCGAGACCCTTGGCAGCCAGAAAGCCACAAGCAGCAGATCCCTGGTGAAAAGCACATCTCTCACTCAAACATTGGTGTATTTTCATAGAAAAGGGCCAGAATAAATCAATTTTGCCCACTTAGCTCTGTTGAAAGCAGCCAGTGCAGAGCTCCTGCTCTCCTCAGTGCGGTGGAGGATCCCTGGCCCATCTCCCTGGGCATTGCCCTGGGGCTCTGGGGGTCACTTCAGCAAATATCAGTCCTGCTAATGGAAGAGGGAAACCTGCTGTCCATATTTGCAGAACCAAAGCGCTGCCCTTCATTTTCGTGCAAATATTTAAGAAAAAAGTCAAACACAAACTCACCAGCCCATCAGGAAAACCTCATTTGCACCCCTGACAATCCAGAGTTTCTCACTGAACCTCTCTCACTTCTAATAACCCAAAACTTAGAAGTGCTCCTTAATTTTAGCAGCTTTTTTTTTTCCTCTTGACCCAGATACAAACAAGCTTTTACTACTGGGAAATGTAATGTTCATGCAGCAGTGCTAAACCATCATTTATTTTTGTATTAAACCAGGAGAGTTGCTCTCCTTCCTCTTTAATGACCCACCTTGATGGTGCTCTGCATTCTCTCTAAGTTTAGAAGGTGTTTTAGATTCCCACTCTGGCTCCTCCATTAGCTCAGGGTCCAACTCTGCCTAAATCAAAATGAATATTTGAGACACACCAATGGTGGCTCAGGTTTGGAGTGAGCAGACAAGAGTAAAATTGCTTTTTATATGTTTTTTATTAAAAGCAATTCAGTTTGGAGAGCCAGAAGATGAATTAAAAGAGTGATGCTGGGCTGTGTGTTAATTGCAGGCCGTTAATTTAATTAGGGAGGGCTGATGAGTGCGGGGCAATGCTGCTGGAGACTCCGTGGGCCATGGAGAAAAATCCTTGTCCTCAGCACATCCCTTCCCTTTTCTGGTGGTTTGACTCATTAGCAATTTTCCTTTTCATGCTCTTTGAGGGGAAAAAAACAACAACAACAAAAAAAGGCATTTTGGAGAAGAGAGGAACAAGTAAAAGATGGGCAAACCCATGAGAGCACTCAGGGAGGATAAAACCCTCCTGGTGTTTCCTCCTCAGCTTTTCCATTCACACGTGGTAGCTCCAGCAGCAGGGTCACATCAGGCAGCCCCAGCCACCAGAGGCACTTCCAGAGGGCAGAGCCTGCCCAGCCTTGGCTTTGGGGAGCCACAGGAGAGTGCAGGAGCTTTCAGTGTTCCTAACCAGGACATGAATTCTGAACAGCAATTCAAATCCAATCCCATAAATCACCAACTTCCCATCAGAGCAGTGCTTGAGGGTGGGCAGATTAAGATGTGCTAACATTTAAATAGCCACTGACAATCCTCTTGAAACACAGAAAATTTCCTTTATCCTCACTGCCAGGAAGGAGAAACTTCCTTTCCAAAATGGAAAATTTTGGTGTTACTTTACATCCTTTCCTGGTTTTATGAGGCAAAAGTTATGAAGACATTTCAGACATGAATTACTTGAAACTTCTGCTCAATTCCAAACAGAACTAGGCTGGAATCCTCCAGATCAGAGTGGTTTGGAGTTCATTTTTCATTTCTACACCAGTGAAACATTTAAGGTTGAACTTGATGGTCTTTCTCAACAGCGACCATTCTGTGATTCTGTGAGCACAGTCTGAAAAATCAGAAGGGAAAAATGACACTCATTCCATTCCCTGAGAGAAGCAGACCCATCCCAGCTCCACGCTGGGTCTCTCTTTAGCCTTTTCCTGCTCATTTTGCTGGGTTTTGGGAGGGCTCCAGAGCCCAGGTACACTGGGAGTGAGGGATGGAGGCTGGAGAAGTTGGAAATGATCTGGATTCCAGGTATTTACAGAGAGGGGACCAATCTGCACCCAGAGAACTGCCAGGGAACGTGGCTGTGCTGGAGGAACAGGACCCTGGAGAAGCAAACGTGGCCAGCCAAGAGCCAGGCCAGGCAGCTTCAACAGCTGCATTATTTGAAATGATTTAATTGACAATGAGTGTGTAACCTGAGGCTGCAATGAGCAAAAACCCACCTGAGCCAAATTGCTGGGACAATCATTTGCTGATTAATCCCCAAAGTACATCTTAAAGAACATAGCCAAAGACTTCAGGACCGTGGTCTTATTTTAACTGTGCCACATCCTATTTTTCATTTACGGGTGCAGTTCTTGTTAAAAACCTGTAATTTCATCTTTGGTTCACCCTGTGAAAAGTCTTTGCCTTGTCCCAAAATACTCACTTAGAAAAGCTTTCAGCCAAAGCTTGCAACCAACAATAAAAACAATCTCCCTGAAACCACCCTCAATTTGGGGCATTTCCATCAATCCAGCTCCTGCTGATGCTCCCGTTGGAGCTCGGGCTGTTAAATGATTTCTCACTTTCCTCCTCGCTCTCAAACTGCACAGAATTCTCACATTTGGGCACCGCTGGAAGCAGAAACAGGAAAGCTGCAAAGCTCCTGGGTCTCCGTGCGAGGCAGGGAGGATTTTGCCCTAAATGTCCCCATTCCCATCACATCCTTCATGTAATTGAGTTTTAAACCTCGACTTGAGCTTCCTGTTGGCAGCTCCTGGCCCACCACACCATCCGTTCTGGGGCCATTGGGTGTCTCCTGGGATCTGGGTTCAGCTCCAGGTTTTCCACACTTTTGCTGTGTAGGACTCCAGGGAATCATCTCATTCCTTGCTGCTGCAGCTCCCCTCCCTCTCAGCAATAACAAACCCACCAATTCACATCGCTCCAAGACACAAGAACCATAGCAATAAAACTTGCAAACAGAGGAGAGAGAGAGAGAGAGAAGCATGTAAATATGATTCAAACCCAAGCTGAAGTTACTAAAATCCAATTGAATTCAAATTTCTTTTCCTCCTTCCTCTGGCTGATGTTTCCCCAAAGCTGTTCCCTTGAATTACACGTGCACAGTCACCCTTCACTTCCCATGCTGGGAAAACCCCATCACCTGGTGTTGCTAATGGAGAAAACCATTTAAAGGATGGAGATTTTGTCCAGGTGAGCTCTGAGTGTGTGGAATGACTGAGCAGCCAGGGGCGCCTCTGATGCTGGGAAAGGTTTGCAGGAATGAGACCAAGCAAATGTCTGACCCCCATTTCAAAAGGATCACAGCATTTCTAGAAGCACAACGAAGAGTTTGAGCAGTGGTAACAACCACAGAGAAGGGTGTGACCTGGGTTTGAAGAGGTGTCTCACCATCATCAGCCCAAACCTTCCTGCTGGAGCACCAGAGGCACAGGCAGGTGACAAAGAGGTGACATCTGTCAATGGCTGTGCTGGGCTGATGCTGCTGCATTTGGTGAGCCTGAGTTGTTTCCAGGATTTCAGCCCTAGGGAACAAGAAGGATGTTGGTCTGAGTTCCTTGGCAGCAGCACTGTCTGCTTCTTATTGCCCAGGAAATGTGGGTTCAATGGGGTTCTTGGTGGGATGAGAGAACAGAGCTTCCAGAAAACAACTGCAAAATAAGCTCAGATAACCAAGAAATTGCTGAGATCCTCCAAGATCCTCCAGTGTGGGGGTGGAGAGGCCCTGGGATGGATTTCCAGAGCAGCTGGGGCTGCCCCTGGATCCCTGGCAGTGCCAGGCTGGACATTGGGGCTGGAGCTCCTGGGACAGGGGGAGCTGTCCCTGCCATGGAGCCTTAAAGGTCCCTCCCAGCCCAACCCATTCCGTGATTCCCTCACAGAGCACACACAGTAAATGACATTTTTGGAGCACTCCCATCTTCCTGGGGTCACCACCAGGGTCCCCTCCAGGGCCAGAGCATTGGGTGCAGACACAGCACCCCCAGGAGCTCAGCCCTGAGCTCGAGCTGGGATGTGGAACCTCCTCTGTGCTCCATCAGCCTGTGTGGAGAGGCCTCTTGCAAAACCAGCCCTAATATTCAAAATTTAGCAACACCGTCTGTTAGAGATTTTGTTAAATAAAAACAACTCATTACCGAACGTAGAACTGGGAGAAGGATCACTTTCTTTCACATACAACTGATTTTCTTCAGCTGGAAAAACACAAATAGTCGTTTGCCAGTATTTCTGAAACGTTTCCAAAGGTTTCTGACAGCAGCCACGTTCCTAACCTGTAGCCAAAGAAATAACTGTATTATTAATCTGGAACTGGCAGTAACTCCTGACATTTGAATTATGTTGCTGAAAGGTGTCTTTTTACCAGCTGGTAAATAACGATTGCCTAATTACAGATATAAATCTGGGGAGGTATGAATGCTCTGCTGAAAGTGATGAAAATGTTTAATAAAATATGGCCCAGAAATGGAGAACGTGATGAGATTCAGCATCTTGACCACGGGGGTTTTCTGGATCTGCTGAGAGAACCACAGCCCCTGAGGATGGGAAACGCTGGTGCTCTGAATTGTCCCAAGAAATCCGAGCTCCTGGTGTGCCATGGATCCCCTCCTTAACCACCCCAGCTCCTGTGGCTGCTCACAGAGGAGCATTTATGGTCTGTTCTCTGATCATCACCAGACCTTTATTAATTTTGTTTCTCCAGTGAAGTTTGATGAAGATACGGTTTCCTGTTGGGGCCTGGATTTGTCACCTCTGTGATTCAGACTTATATCATAGATCTCTAATGATAGAAATTGGAAAGAGATCAAAACTGTAGTTTATTTTTTTAATTATTTATTTTAAATCACTTTTTAAATTTCTATCCCAAGTCAATTATTTTACAAAAGCCATGGCAGCTTGATCTGAAATGGCTTTATTTTGGTGCTTCACTTTCAGTTTTTTGAGTATTGCATTTATTCATTATAATTTTTTGTTATGTTTTGGCAGTGGATAAAGACAAATTTTTGTAGTTAAGATTGATTTTTCTAATTGTAGCCTCACCGAAAATCCCCAGCAGAGCTTCTCCAGCGACTCCCACAACTCACAGGCTGCAGTACAGAGCCTGAGACAGAGCTCATCCAAGTGCCTGCATGGAAGAGCTCTCTGAGTGTGGAAACCATGGAATGTCTTGGGATGGAAGAGTCAACCCAGCCCCTCAAATCCCACCCTGGCATCCCTGGGAGGGTTTTCCAAAGCCTCCTGGAGCTCTGGCAGCCTTGGGGCTGTGCCCATTCCCTGGAGAGCCTGGGCAGTGCCAGCACCCTCAGGGGAGAATAAAATATAAATATAAATATAAATATAAATATAAATATAAATATAAATATAAATATAAATATAAATATAAATATAAATATAAATATATAAATATAAATATAAATATATAAATATAAATATAAATATATAAATATAAATATAAATATAAATAATTTCCCAATAATATAACAAAATGTATCTACATATATCTAATATAACAGAATAATACCTACAGGTGTATATACAATATCCTGTAAATACTAGCATAGCTTGGGGAATGGTGAATGGCCTTTCTGAGAGCTGAGACACAGCACAGCTCAGTCCAGGCTGGGTTTCATAACTCACCATTGTAATTATCAGCCACAACTGTGATTTCAGCCCAGGTCTCCATCCCTCTTGTACAGCATCCTCAGCTGAGCCTGGAAGGAAAAGTGTCAGGCTCAGCCTCCCTGCCTTGCTTCAGGGAACGAGCAGGGAGTTCATTCCCAAGCTGCCAGTGCAGCTCCTTTCTCCAGCGCTACATTCATTAACTCTGCAGCACAACACCCAAATTACTCCTTTTTAGCTTCTGCAAAGATTTTCATGCCATGCTCGGGGTGGTTCCATCTCATTACTGCTGCTTCTTTACTGTTCCCTTTCTGATGCACAGGCACTGCCCATACAAGGAGTCATTAATAAGTCACGTTCTCAAATCCATGTGTTCCCCTGAAAGGATCTCTGACATAACATCTGCCTGTGTTCACATTACAAATTACAACAATGAGATTCTGATTCTGCTCATCCCATCCCACCCAGCCATGGCAGGGACACCTCCCACTGTCCCAGCTGCTCCCAATGTCCAGCCTGGCCTTGGGCACTGCCAGGGACCCAGGGGCTGCTCTGGGCACCTGTGCCAGGTCCTGCCCCCCTCAAATCACCAATCCCACCACCCTCAAACCCCAAGAATCTTCCTAATGCAGACCTTCCTGAGGCCAGCTCTGCTGTGGTGCTGAAGAACACTCCAGGGGATCACTGTGCATTTTCTGGTGACCAACTCCAGCCTTCCTCAGAACTCTGCTCCAAACCCCCCCCAGCAGCCAGGGAGCAAACCCCAGCCCTGCCATTTCCACACCAGTTCCCTGGGCTGGGCACAGCTGAATGTTTAACCAGTAAAGGGGTTTCAGGAGGAAACCTGTAGAGGAGAAGAAGAGCTGGGCTGCAGAAGCTGGAGCTGGCATGCAAGGCTGAATTAATAGCTTAATGCAATTCAGTTCTTACTGGTTGCCTGGAAACTAACTTCGAAAAAAAAAAAGGAAAAGCACAAACCATAATGGGTGTAGAGGGCTTAATAGGGAATTATTGATGCCACCAGACTGTCTGACAGTCTGATGGATTTCTAACGAAATCACTCCGAATGCTCCTTTGTTATTGTATGTTCTCCCGAACAACAAGGTCCAAGGGAGAAGGAGAGGAAATATTCCGTGGGGTTAGTGCTGGCAGGAGAGCCTGGTTGTGCCAGGGACAGCTGGAATGCTTTCCCTGCTGCTGGTGCTCTCCAGCAGCAAACACAGGGAGCACTGGAGGATCCCTGCCCGAGTGAGGCTGCTCGAGTTCCCCCTGCAGCTCTGCTCTCAGGTGGGAGCTGCTGCATCCCAGCTGAAAACCAGGAAGCAAAGACCTCACAGCCCTGGGGACAGCTTTAGTGGATGCTCATCCTTGTGCTGGGGAGGGAGAAAAGCAGCCCTGGAAAGTTCCTGCCATCCCAGGGGCTGGGGAGTCTTTTGGGATGAGGAACCTCAGCAGAGCCTGGAGGAGAGGAGGGACCAGGACAGCAAATGGGGACCAGGGGGAGCAGAAACAGACACTGGTTTTGTGGACAGCTCCTGTCCATCCCAGTAAGGACCTGCCAAGTCTGAGAAGGCACAAAGTTAACTGTTAATGATGCATATTTTAATTAACTGAGGAAGCAGCTCAATGGTTCTGGCATCACAAAGCAAATCCTGTCCCCCAGCAGCCCGGGGTCACAGCAGCATCACCAACAGCCAGACCCTGGTGCCCACTTTTCCATCTTGGAACAGTGCAGGTTTTATCATTTGATTATAAAACAAATGATAAATATATATAATCATATGATTATATCATATATAATCATATATATTATCATATATCAAAAAAATTTATCATTTTTTTATCATGATCAAATGATCATTTGTGACAGGAATTAGGTCAGTTTAATTACCTTAAACTTCAGATGAGCATCCACCTCTCTCCTGGCTACTTTTGGATGTGTAAACAATGCACAGCCAGCACCAAAGCAGAGAACACCAGGAGCCCCAGCAGCTGCTGGAGACCCTCCCCACACACAAACACCCAGCTCCGTGCCTCAGAGACAAACCCTGGCAGCTTTCCAGGGGTAGAGATGATCATATGTTAGAAACAGCTTTGGGAACAGACTCTGTCTCCTCTCCCATCTCTGAGGTGCATTGTACAAGGGCTGGATAATGTAACTGTAATATAGAACATATTGTAATATAGAACAGTGCAGGGCTAATTTTGAGTCTGCTCCTGATTTATCTGTGATGTCAAGATATTCAGTAGATACCTCGAGAGCATTTTAAATAGTCTCTAAATAAAGCAAGTCATTATTTCTTGCTAAAAATGGGGTTTAAAATGAGCTAGTTACTGTAAAAAACAACAAACTGTAAATTGTTTTCCAATTTCATAAGTCCCTTTCCTGTTTCCAAGTGATCTGTGGTAATAAAGTATCAACATGGAGATCAAATGCCCCAACAAAATTATTTAATGACTTACAGAATGTATATCCCTACAACCTAAGCTAAGACAAACATAATCACACACCCTTTTTATTACAGTTCTTTAGCCACTGGGGATAGAAAAATAATTTAGCTACCAGTTCACTATTTTTCATTGTCATCCCATTACCCACAAGTTCTGTTTTCCATGTATCTCTTTTTAGGAGCTCCTGAACCAACAAACCTGGAAGGTGCAGCTGTTTGAGCCCTCAGTGGTGAGAGGAATTTCTGGATTTTCCAGAAGGATTGGAAGGGAGGACATGGGTTCCAGGCTGAGAAGTTGAAAAACCTTTTAGGTACAGACTTGCCTCTGAACCAGTGTGGATTTCCAGGGATGTCCCTCCCTGTTGGGAGTGTTTGTGCCACGTGGGGAGCCCACAGCTGCAGGGAGGGGAGCCAGGGAAGCAGCACAGCCTCACCTGGGGAGGGACCTGGGCACCTGCTGGGCCAGCTGTGGGAACAGCCAGTGCATCTTCTCCCCCAGGAATCTCCATGGAAACAAACTGGGGAGAACATCCCCCCAGCTCCTCACACCTCCCCCAAAACACACGGGTACTGGATGGCCACAGCTGCCAAACAGCTGGATCAATGATCAACAGCTGGACTTGATCCAAGGGGCCTTTCCAGCCTTGACAGCTCCAGGAGAAACGAGCACTGAGCTCACAGGACTGTCCCAGGAGATCCTGCAGCAGGTGAAGCATTCCAGCATTCCCAGCCCGTGTTTGGAATTTACACCCAGCTCACCTGGGGTGGGTTTCCCTGGGTGAAGCAGGAGTGGAGCAGCTCCAGAACCTCTGGAGCAGGGCTGTGGGTGCCAGGGGGGCTCAGCCCCCAGTGTCAGGGGCTCCTCTGCTCCACGGCACAAGAAGGGGAGCAGCAGCAGAAATGAGGGGGATTGACATGGGCAGGAGGGCTGGCAGCCAGCAGCCTCCGTGAAACCTCACTGACCAGAATGTTCTGGGCACTCCTGGGCCCTGGAGGGCACAGCTGGAGTCAGCTGCTCCTTCTGTACTCCTGTCCCAGAGAGCACAGCTGGAGTCAGCTGCTCCTCCTGTCCTTCTGTCCTCCTGTCCTGGGTCCCAGGGAGCACAGCTGGAGTCAGCTGCTCCTTCTGTCCTCCTGTCCTTCTGTCCTCCTGTCCATCTGTCCTGGGTCCCAGGGAGCACAGCTGGAGTCAGCTGCTCCTCCTGCCCTGCCCAAGCCCCAGCTCCTGGAGCTGTGGATGAGCCTGGAGCCATTCTGCCAGCCAGCTCTCAGCAGAACCTTTTAACGAAAATTGCTGTCTCCTCCTTGCCATCTGTGGAATTCAAGAGATTTATTTGAGCTCAGGAGCTGTCTGGAGCTGGTGAACTTTTGATGGTGGACATAATGAAAAGCATCCCTGAGCCTTTTCTTCTGGAAAGAGGGAGATGTCCTCCCGAAGTTCTAGAATGTCCAAGTCTTATTTCTTCATAGCTGCTGGAACAAATAATTCCGAGGTTGTTACTCTGCAAAATAATTCATAGATTCCAAATACTGATATTTATAGCTGAAGCAGAACTCCTAAAATCTCATGGTTCTAATGGGAATGTTGGCAGGTCCTTTATTATGTCACAGCTAGCAGTGGTGTTAAAAGTTCTGGAATCAAACTATCAATGCATGATAAATGGGGGTGAGCTGCTTGTGTCACACCACTTATTAAGTTGGTACCATAAATTATTGCACTGTAAAAATCAATGTTTACTTCAGACTTCCCTCCCATATTTTCATTGCTATTTTCTAGAATTCATTTAAAAACTACAAGAAATGAGAAAAGAAAAAAAAAAAAGAAACCCAAAACCACGTGAATCAGGAAAATTAATTTTCTTCAGGCTGAATTGTTCTTTATTGCCTAAACAAAGCAATAGTGGAGGGTGTTGCAATTATTAAAACTAGCTAGATAAGAAAGGATGAATTGGAGATGGATCAGACCATGGAGTCAGATATTGACCAAAAATTCCAAGAGTTGAATTAAGAAAAGTATAATATTTTTAAATTTTACTCTTTTTTTTGCAAATGCATCACTATTAATCAACAAATTCAAACTTTTTATTCCCAGATGAGACCTCCAGGAACTCAGTCAGTGTAGTATGAGCTCACCTTTAATGTCAGGCGATGTTCTGATGTTAAATCTCCAGAATTTTGCACAAGGAGGAGCATCCACTGCTGGGGCAGGACAGCTCTCACCCCCCTGCTCTGAGGGCATCCTGAGAGCTGCCAAAATCCACCTGGATGGACAAAGTGAGGAAAATCCTTCATTCATCTGTCCTGAGCTGGGATGTGCGGCCCTTCCATCCCTCCCTGAAGGACTCTCCCCACATTTAGGATCCCTGTCGTTTCAGGGATGCTGCACAGCTCTTAAACCCTGCTGGGGAAAACCCAGGAGCAGCAAATTCCAGAGGGATTTGTGTGGGAGGAAATCCTGTGGCCCTGTTTGCCCTGCACAGCCAAAGGTGAGCTCGGGATCACACCTTGCCCATGGCTGCACAAGTGGCACACGCTTTTAGGAGCAGCCTGCCAGGTCCCCTGAGCAGGAAACAGCAAGAAAAACACATTTTCTAGGTTTTTACACCCAAAGAGTAGAGCTTTTTGGAAAAAAAAAAAAATTAAAAAATTGTCCCTGGTGTTTCTGCCAGTTTGGTTTCAGCTTTGACTTGGCAGGAGCTGCACGCCAGCAGCCGTTCCCCACTTGGTTCTGATAGACTCTGTCTCCCAAAATCCGAGTTTTTGGGGATTCCTCTCCTCAAGCTCAGCACCCAACCACTTCTAGAGCCTTCCTGCACTTCCCAAAGCTGAGGGCAGCATTTCTCAAGTGCCACCTACATTGTACAGGCTGGCAAAAATCTCCTTTCCTCCAGGCCAAGCACAGCCCCGGGATTTATTGCTAATAAGTCAGAGATTTCGCAAACAACAGCATCAAAAAGCACATTAGCTCTACCTCTGAGTGAGCACATCCCGTCTCCAGTGAGGTTTTATGACAGATGATTCAAAGGGGAGAAATTAGGAGGCCTCAGAGGCTTTTATGGCTTTTCTTGCCTCATCTGTATTTGGGGAGCATGGCAGGCGGGCTCGGTGCGTTTGGCTTTCCTCGTGCTCCTCGTGCCATGAATAACGGGCAGGAACAGCCAGGTGCCAATGAGAGCTGCCTGGAGAAACGTGAGAGGGACAATTTCCCACCTCAGCCAGCACAGGGAGAGGTCCCCAGGCAGAGCAGGAGGCACCAGAGTGCAGAATAAGGCAGGGACGTGGGGGATTTGGGATTCCAGCAGGACACTGCCTTGCTTTCCTTGATGGCCACCCACCCTCTGGGACTGTGGGATTGCCCTGCTTTAAAATAAAGAAATAAATACATTGAATTTTGCAAGATAAAAGTTTAAATATTGAACTTCACCTGCCTTTAAAAGAAGGGACTGAGGAGGAAGGTATGGCTGCCTATGGTTTAACAACTTCAGCAGGGATTCTGTGCAGAGTGGAGAAAGGAAAAGGCTCTCCCAGGAAAAGCCTCTCAGATCTCAAGCCAAAATTCCCCCATCTACAAATAAACATTTTTAACCCTCTTGTTGGCCATGCTGATAGGGGCTCCTAAAGGTTGAGTACCTGTGCTTTTTATTGCCTGAGGTTTCAGCAGCGCTCCCAGGCAGGATTTTGCAGATGCACAAACTCATTAATCTTGCAGGTTTCAGGGTGCATCTGCAATCTTCTTGCATCCCACATTCCTACCTATTACCTCCAATTTAGATCATCTGCCTTGTTTTCCACCCGGAGCCGTCTGCAGAGGGGATCTGAGCCAGCACAACTCCTTGCTATGGAGACTTGCTCCTCGGTGACGTGAGCGGAGAGTTTTGCATGAAAATCAAAAGAACAATCTCTGAGGAGTCTCTCCTCTGCTCTCAGACTGTCCTGAGAGCACAGCATGGCCTGAAATGAAAAATCACACATCTCCTTCTCTCTACAGCTGGAAAGGTTTAATAATTAAACCAATTCTTTTGCTGTAACAATATGAAATTAAAGGGTTGGGTTTTTTTTTGCTTACAAATAATAGACAGAGGCAATCTGAGCTAATCTGGTGTGTGAGTGTGGGGAAGGATGTGCTGCAGAGCTGCTCTGGGGCAGATGTTTAATGACTGACTGAATAAACCCTGTGTGCCCCAGCTGGATCTGTCCTGTACATGCCATCATTCTTCACAGGTTTGCTGGGATTTACTGCCCATCCCTTGATGTTTGTGTACCTGATAGACAAAGACTTCCCAGAATCCCAGAAGGGTTTGGGTGGGAAGGAGACCTAAATCCCATCCCAGCCATGGCAGGGACACCTCCCACTGTCCCAGCTGCTCCAGCCCCAATGTCCAGCCTGGCCTTGGGCACTGCCAGGGATGAGGAGAGGAGTTCTGCTGTGTTCTGTGGTCTCCAGGCTCTGCAGCCACAGGCAGGACCCTCCCTCTCCCCACTTGTCTGCTGCTGCATTTCCCTCCCAGAGCATCCCTTCCTGTGCTCCAGAGGGCTGGAGGCAGCACAGCCCCACAGCTGGAGCTGCCCACCCCAAAGAAAAGCCGTGCCAGTCGCACTCCCAGCTCAGGATGCTGCCCTTGGCACGGGAGGAGGGAAGCAGGCTTTGCTCTGGTTTGTAGCAAAGATGGATGGGCTAAAGCTGAAGCCCTCAGGCTCCAGGCCCTTCCCATCCAGTTGTTGCTCAGTCAGGTGTGCCAGTGGAGAGGGACGTGAGGAGCTTTAAGGTCCCTTCCCACACAAACCATTCAAGGATTCTGTGCTATTTGTGTCTCAGAGTTCCCAATTTACTCACTGCATATTACACACGTTATGTTCAATCTTAAAATACTACTTATCTTGATATTATTTTTAATTAAGTGCAACATTTCTGGATTTTTTTTTGATGTGGTCCTGACCTTTCCAGAGCACTGAGCTTTGCCAGCAAACCCAATCATTTGCCCATGCTGCACAAAGGCGAAGCTAACTGCAAAATAATATTGGTGCCATCTATTTATAGCAGCTATAAAATCCCCCCAGGAAGCTGCTAAATCCCCTTCTCTGTGCTCAGATACGAGGGGCCACAGTGTTGCTTTTCCAGTGGGGTTTCATTATCCAATACTGGTGATTGATGCTGTTCCTGAGTAATCTTTCAGATAAATGAGCCCTCCCCATCTCATTTCCATAACTATTTTATCACAGTGTGAATTAGTTCCTCACACTTCTGCAGAGTTACCTCTCCAACAGCAACTTCTTTACAGAGCAATAGAAACATCCAGCAAATAAAAAATATCCCAGCAAGTGCTGAATATCTCCCAAAAACCCTCAGATTCTTTCTTTTAACAATTAAAATATTGACATTTTTTCATCAACTGCATTCTCAACAGGTGAGAAAATCCAAACCAGGAAACAAGGACCAGGAAAAAGATAGGGATGTTTTCTAGGAAAAATAGTGGTTATCCAATAAAATCCAATCCAGACGTTAAATCAACTATGTGAAAATCTTCCTTTGTCAATATCCGCAGGAGTTTCCTAAAACATCTCTTCTTTTTGGAAAATAGCTTCAAACTAAATTAAAAAACAGCTTCAGAAACCGGGTTTAGAGGACTTGGAGACAAGAAAAGCCATTTGTTCTGAAGCAATCTGGGTTTGTTTAGATTGGTTCCCTCAATTCTGAGCTGAGGAAGGTGTGAAAATAGGCAAAGAGGACAAGATTTGACTGCTCTGGATGAAAGGATCAATTCCAGGCGAGTTTCTGTTTGTGCTCACTATAAACCCATTTTTTCAAGGGTCTCACATAAATCCAAATGTGCTCTGGCACTGAATGAAGAATGGAGCTGAGACCAGGCTGGGGATTTGGGGGTGTGGGTGCTCACATTCAGCAACACAGGTCTCACACCTCACCACTGGTATGTGCTTAAGGTGCTCTCTTCATCAAAAAACTTATACTTAAAAATAAAATAAAATATGCTAAGCCCTTTACTAAGGAGAGAATGTGAGATCAGAGCAAAAACCAGGTGTGGAAAACTACAGCCATAATTCAACTGCTCAGATATTTCGATATTTTCGCTTTAAAAGTCATTCTTACAAAAAAGCTGCCACATCCACAAGTTGACCGATGTCATATATATAAAAAATTGTCCTTCAGAATTATTTTAATCACAACTAACATTGCCAAACCAGGTTTTAAAGCAGTTCCTAATGGTAGCATTAAGCTAGGAGAGTGCAGAGAGAAGAGCATTGAGGTGCAGCACTGGCAAGGGTTGAACGGGCAGGGAATTCTCTGTTTGGGGGGTTCCAGGCAGGGTCAGGTTTCCCCTGTGCCACCCCCTGCACTCTGCAGTTCCAGCTCCTGACCCTGAGGGGTGCCCGGGGCTGGGGCACAGCTGGGCACAGCTGGAGCTCTGGACCAGGAGCACCCAGCATCCACAATCCAGGATTTCAGGTGCCTTTGAGTGTTTGATGATGGCCCTGGAGGGTAATGGCAGCTTGTGGCTGCTCCCACATCAGCAGCAATCCCTCCATTCATTCCAGCCCCACCACCCTCCCTTCCCAAAGCTCTGTTGCCAGCAATGTCCAGTCTGGGATGGGGAAGAGTCAGCTCCCAGCTGAGAGCATCCCCAAGCTGCAGCTCAGCACATCCCAGTAGAAAGTGAGGATTGGGATGCTCGGCTCCAGCTCAGCACATCCCAGCAGAGAGTGAGGATTGGGATGCTCAGCTCCAGCTCAGCACATCCCAGCAGAGAGTGAGGATTGGGATGCTCAGTTCCAGCTCAGCACATCCCAGCAGAGAGTGAGGATTGGGATGCTCAGTTCCAGGTCAGCACATCCCAGCAGAGAGTGAGGATTGGGATGCTCAGTTCCAGCTCAGCACATCCCAGCAGAGAGTGAGGATTGGGATGCTTGGCTCCAGGTCAGCACATCCCAGCAGAGAGTGAGGATTGGGATGCTCGGCTCCAGGTCAGCACATCCCAGCAGAAAGTGAGGATTGGGATGCTCGGCTCCAGTCGATCCGGCGTTCCCGGCCTCGTTGCCATGACAGCAGAGCACCGGGGCTGCCTCCTCTGCTCTCGCTCCTCTCTGGAAGCGCAGCTCTCCTCCAGCAGGGATGCTGCCAGGGACAGGGACTGACCCCAGGCTGCTCCTGCTCCCACCACCAGCGCTTTGGGAATTTTTACTGCTCCTATAGAAGGTGGGCATAAAGCAGAGCGGTGCCTGGGATGGAGAGAGCAGGGAATGCAGCCACAGAACCGGCACATTCCCATCGAGATGAGTCCTGCAGTTTATCGTTCCTGCAATAAAATCACAGAACTCTGTGGCACCACTCCTGGAGTTCAGGGGGACACGGAGCTCCTCCAGACTCCTCTTTGCTGGCAAACAAGGCTGCTCGTTCATGATGGAATCATTTGCATTTCTGCCGAGATGATGCCAAAATGTCCTTGTAATTTAAAACAAAACCCCTTGCTGATATTTGTATAAACTCTAGGGAATTGTCACCTCTTCTAAATCAAGATTTTTGTTGAAAACAAACACATTTTCCTCCATATCCTGGAACCTCGTTCTTCACGTTCTGTGCTTGTTCCTCAGCCTTGGGATGAGCTGAGTTTCCACTGAGACATCTTTCAAGCCTTTGTCCCCACATGTTCTTAGACTTCCCTTCAAAATTTCTGTTTCTATAGAAAATATTGATGTTTGCACACAGCCTGGCATTGTCTGTCGTGCAGGTGGAGCTCAGCCTTCCCAGCTGCCTGGGGTTTGTCCCCTGCAGGTCCCTGAGCAAGGACACCTCTGGATGTGGAAAGGGGAAGCAGGACCCAGCAGCTTTCATCCTCTTCCACTTCTCCTTGAAGGATTTCCTTTCCTTCCGAATGTTCTCTCTGAAACTGTGCCAAAACCAACAGCATTCCTCAAATTCAATTTGTTATTTCTTGAACAACAGAAGAAAGCATAATATTCTTGGGTATATAATATGCAAAGCATGCTTGGCTTCATTATTTGAAAAACTCAAGACAGCTTTGCCTATGGAGATTAGGGAGAGCAGAAATAACATTCCCTATGCAGAAATAACATTCCCTGTGCAGAAATGAAGCTGTTTGTCTTGGCAACATCCACAAATGCTGTCCCAGTGTTTCCCTGTCTCTGTCCATTCTCAGAGCCCTGGGAAGCTGCCCACATTTCACCTTGCTCCCTATTCCCCATCCCCTGGGAGCTGTGGCAGCTCTCTCCTGGAGCCTGGATGATCCCATCTGCCCATTCCTTAGGAAGCTGCTGTGGTGTCCCTGCCCTTGGCAGGGGTGAATGGTTCTCTGAGGTCCCCCCAGCCCAGCCCGTGCCAGGATTCCGAGGCACAGTGCCCATCAATCCCAGGGATCAGGACAGGAGGGGAATGCTCCATCCCACAGCTCTGGGGCTGACTCAGGGCTGTGCAGGAGGAAGCCAGAAGCACCAACAGAAGTGCTGCTGATTCAGCACCCAGTTTTCCTCTGCTTTTAGGGCTTGGGTGGCAGCTCCAGGCTCCCTTCCCAGCCCCTCAGCAGAACCTCTGTCCTTGCACAAGAAATCCCTCTCTCAAACCCAGGCCAACCCTTGCTCTTGGAGCCGTCGCCACCACGATGCAGCAAATCAAGCAGCAGCACTCCACAGGCTGCTGGACTCCTCTCAGCCCTCACACTCAGCCAAGAACTCCCACAGAAACGCTTTTATATCTCAAGACTACTTGAGAGGAACCTAAGTACTGCACTTTCACTGCCAAATTTAATTTCTTCGTGGAGCTCTCAGCTCACTTAAAAGCTTGCCAGCCTCTCTGAGGCTGAGAGCTCCTCAGGGCACGGCCTGGCCTCGCCACGGAGGCACAGCCAGCCCTGGAAGGAGCCCTGTGCTCCCTGCCCTGCTGCTCTGCCCTCTTCTCCTTCCGCAGCCAGAGAGCAATTCAGCATCTCGAGGACATCTGCTGTGGTGGCTGCAGTCACCCTCCTGCAAGGGCAGCTCACAGGGACCCTCTGCAATCCCAGGATCCTGAGGTTGGGAAAGCCCTCTCAGCCCAGGGAGTCCCAGCTGTGCCCAATCCCCACCTTGTCCCCAGCCCAGAGCCCTCAGTGCCACCTCCAGCCCTTCCTTGGGCACTCCAGGGATGGGCACTCCAAACCTCCCTGGGCAGCTCCAAGGCCTGAGCTCCCTTTCCATGGGGAAATTCCTGCTCTGTCCACCCTGAGCCACTCTGGTACATTTTGAGGCCATTTCCTCTCCAGCTGTCTCTCATTTCCCAGGAGAACAGGACTGGGCTGCCCCTCCTGTCAGGGAGCTGCAGAGCCCCAAGGGCCCCCAAGCCCCTTTTTCTCCAGGCTGAGCCCCTTTCCCAGCTCCTGGCTGCTCCTCACGTGGGTGGCTGTGCAGAGCCTTCCCCAGCAGCACGTTTGGCACACGTGAAGGAGACGGGGCAGATCCTCCTGGGTGGATTTTCACGGTTTGTCGTGATAAAAATCCTCCAAAGAACAGAGAGCGAGAACTGAAACAGAGATGGTGCAGTACCCAGAGTAAATTGGAGAAACAAAATTAGAAACAATCTGTGTTTCAAAAATGTGGTCAACAGAATGCATCACCATGACAATTCTTGCTAGAAGCAACAAGAGAGGCTTCCTGGCACTGCTGAAGGAGGGCTGGTTCAGGAGTGAAGATTCATCAAAATGCAATTTACAGCACCAGAAAAATGTATCTGTAGTGGCATTTCATTGACTTTTATTCTTAAAATGTGAGAACTAGACTGAAGAAGCATTACCTTACACTGAATTCTGTGAAGATCCTGATCCTGACAGAAAATCAGAGACGTCTTTAGCATGTTCCTTAGTGGTTGCATTCCAGACAAAGCTAAAATAAGGATCAAAGATTTATATCACAGATATAAAATAAAATCAAACGAGAATCTCAGATTAAGGCACACACGAGGTGGGCTTTAAATTATAAATATGGTTCTAAAAGGAAACATAAAGAAAGGATTAAAATACCCACACAGTGAAAAATAATTCCTTTTAAAGGTGCCACCATGTCCCAGCTACGAGAGGAACACAACTCGCTGCAGTTTTAACCATGGCTCTCTCCGAACATCCCATTCAGGGCCCTGGACGTTCTTCCTCCCCAGCTGCCCTCCCTGGCACGGTGGGTGAGGATTCACAGGCACAAAAATGGATTGTTTTAATTTGGGGCAGCTGAGAGACGACGTCAGCGCTCTCCTGATAGATGAGATCACACAAATGCCTTCGCTCCATCGTCGTGGGGAGAGGGATCGGCTGGAAAAAGAGAGGAAAAAGGGAGCAAATCCACCTGGAGAGAAAGGCAAGGAGCCCAGAGCAGCTGTGGATCCCTGGAAGTGGCCAGGGCAGGGCTGGGAGCAGCCTGGGGCAGCAGGAGGTGTCCCTGCCCATGGCAGGGGTGGCACTGAATGAAATTCAAGATCTGAACTATTCTGGGAGTCCGTGATCATAAAAAACCCCAAGGAAACACAGCAGTGTTTGGATGACAAATGAAATAAAGAGCAGCTAAGGCTCGGGGTGGTGGTGGGATGGAAATCACGTCTCCACCTCTGGAGCTTCACCCAGCAGCTCTCCCTCAGGGGTTACTATTTACTACATTTTAGGGAGTGCAGGCACTGAGGATAAATTTCCTCTCTTAAGCCCATAAATCTCTGCAGGTCTGACTGAACGCTCAGCATGGTATATGTGTGTGGCTGGGCTGACCTTGAGCTGGGGAAAAGTTTGTTAAAAAACTTCTCCTTTTGGAAAAAAACCCCATTGCAGGCTGCCAAATCCTGCACAGCTGTCCATCAATTGCCACAAGTTGTCTTAATTTTTTAGTGCTTAAGTAACATTTCTTTCTTATCAAAATTCTTCATGTCAAATATTTCACTTTGAATGTTATGCTATGTTAAAAAATAGTAAATCACTTAGCAACTAAAATGAAATATCTAATGCGAGGTCAAATTGGCTACTTTGTTGATTCTGGGATGAAATAACAATTTTTTATCATTTTTGGTTTTAGCAAAGCTTCTTTTTTTTCCTTCTTTCCCCAGGCACTTTTGAATTGCCAGGGAATAAAATAAATATATTACCCCCAGGTAGGTACTGTATAAGTAATATATGGTAGAGTTATAATAGAACACTGAAAAACTCCATTACATTCCTGTTCCTTTGTCAGAGGCAGGACTGGTTGGAGCAGCACTTGTATATCTCAGTGATATCTAATTCCCAGGGAAAACCTTCCAGCACCGAGAGCACAGCCAGCTGCAGGCAAACAGGGTCATCAAACACTGTCAGCAAACGGATTATTCACAGAACTGAAAAGGAAAAAAAGAAACAGGAGAAGAGACAATGTCTATAATATTCATAATTCAAAATAAAATGATTTTTGCCCAATGGCAGCGCAGCTCCTGGAGCATGTGGCATGGAAACGGGGGTCAGACCCCTCTGGCACTGCTGAGGAGCTCAGGAGGGATCTCCCACCTCGGGGTTTTAGGGGAAATCCCCCCGTGGCAGCAAGCCTGGCCAAGTTCCCAGCTCTTCCCACTCTGGAACTCAGTACTGCACCTGTATCCCACGGAAAACTTGTCCTGTGAGAGGGACACACCCCATGGGATCACTGGGGCTGGAAAAGCCTCCCAGCACACCCAGTCCAACGTGTGCAACCAGGCCTTTGGCACTAATTACCCAATTATGACATATTGTACATTCCTACAACATCTCTACTATCAAATTACCCAAACCTGAGTACTTAATCCTCTGTGCCTGCAGCTCCTGCTGACCTGAAGGGAGTGAGGTTTTCCAGCCCCACAGGAGGTGCAAATTCTCTGTTTGTCTCATAAACCACTTCTCTGGAGCACGGGGAGGAAAAACCAGTTGTTCCTTACAAGGCCTGTAAGGACAGGAATAACTGTGAGGAGCTGGGAGGGAAGAAAAGCAAAGCCAGGCTTGTGAAATCTCCTCCAGAGCTGAGCTGCTCCAGCTCCCCAGGGCTGCTGACCTGCAGGGATGGGGCTGGGACCCAGATCAGCTCTGCTGGATTTAAATCAGCTGTGTTGGACCCAAATGAGCTCTACAGGACCCAGATCAGCTCTGCTGGATTTAAATCAGTTGTGTTGGACCCAAATCATCTCTACAGGACCCAGATCAGCTCTGCTGGATTTAAATCAGTTGTGTTGGACCCAAATCATCTCTACAGGACCCAGATCAGCTCTGATGGGTCCAGTTCAGCTCTGCTGGACCCAAATCAGCTGTGCTGGATTTAAATCAGTTGTGTTGGACCCAAATCAGCTCTGATGGGCCCAGTTCAACTCTGATGGGCCCCAATCAACTGTGCTGGGCCCAGCTCAGCCCTGCTGGGCCCAGCTCAGCTCTGATGGACCCAGCTCAGCCCTACTGGACCCAGCTCAGCCCTGCTGGACCCAGCTCAGCCCTGCTGGGTGGTTTCCATGTGGAGCTGGGGTGACCATTGACAGACACCACCCTCTCCTCTCCTGCAGTGCCTGGCACAGACAGGGCCACGTTCAGGAAAATGCAGTGTTGAAGATTTCCTGGCACAGGGCTCTGCCAGTGACGTCAGCCTTTCCCCCAGTGCTCCCAGTTGTCACCGTGGGCTGGGCTGCCCAACACCTCCCTCGAGGGGAGCCTGGCCCCCGTGACTCACGCTGTCACCACTGAGGTGACAAAGTGCCGCATTTCCCCGCTGCATCACTCGGAGAGGGGGCACAGCTCCGGCCCCCCGCTCTATTTATGGGTGCAGGCAGAGAAAAACATGCTCCTGCCACATTTTAAAATAAAATGTATGTGAGTTTGGTGAAAAACACCAGATGACTGCACACAAGGATGAGGGGATATTAATGCAGACAGTGACACCTCCAGTTTTTGTGCTGCCTGCAGAAGGCACCGGCAGAGCTGCCAGCCTGGCCTTTGGGCACCTCGCTCCTGCCCTGGCTTCAGCTGGAACGCACTGGAAACACCAGGAGCACCAAAAAAACCACAGGCAGGCCAAATTCTGGTCTAGCTTTAAAGCCAATCTGGCAAAGAGCACTGGGAGAAAACAGGAACACTGGGAAATCGCGAAATATTTTCATTTTTCAGGAATTTATAAATCTACTAAAGGCTCATTGATGTATCTGAACCAGCTTTGGCTTTCTAGTATTTATTTAAAGTAGTAACTCTTGCGAGGATTTCACAGGATGTTCAGCTCTTCAAGTGAAGCTGTACAGCAGCAATTATAAAATGCAAAGGGCAACACTGCTCAAATGAGAGACCTCAGCCACAGAGAGGTTTTAGCTTCTCTAAACCTCATTTGTAAGCAGGGATAAAATGGAAGAGTAAATGGAGGAACCTGATAGCTTCATGTCAGGAAAGACATGAACCGTGACACAGCAGTGTCAGCCAAAGGAAAATGAGCTGTTAAAGCACCTGGAGTGGAACAACACACGGTTTCTGAAGTGGCAGATTAAAAAAAAAAACCTGATAATGGGTCACGAGTGATGAAATTTATGCCTTGTTCCTGCCGTGCACTGGGACTTCCACCTTCAGATCTGCAGTCAGAACAGATTAGATTGCCTCCAAATGAAAGTGTCAAGGTAAAACCCAGCAAGTGTAGTTCAACAGCTCTGTAAAAACATTGGCAGCGAGGGAAACAAGAAAACAAACCTCATTCTGCTTTTCTGTGCAGCCCCTGCACCTGGAGAACAAGACTTTAACAGAGGCAGCAGAAATGTGATAAAAACCCAGGGCCTGTAGCAGCGGGGTGGAAGGAGGCCTTAAGTGCCTGTCGAAAGATGTTAAATAAGATTTTTTGGAACTAAACCATGATTCAGCTTTCCTAATATCACATAAAACTAAAAATTGGAAAAAAGGTGAGGGTTTTTTTATTGACCTTCAGGAGGAAAAAAAAACCTGTGGATGGCTGGTGGCTGCAGAGAACAGGCAGTTCCAGCTCGGCTGATTACTGAGCAAACCACTCTCCCAACCATTTCTTTCCCTCCTGCTCCAAGCAATGCCTCAGCACAATTTAACAGTTTCCAATTCACCAACTGAAATAACTCAAAGGTCTTTATTTTTCTAGGGTGAGAAGGGCAAGTGAGAGCCCAGAAGCATTTCTGCTGGGAGGGCTCCACACGCTCTGTCTGGCACAGGACGTGTCTCGGCGCAGCCGGGGCGCCCACGGTGGCATTTCCACGCTGCTGGGCTGCAGGTGGGAGGCTGCACTGCCTGCAAATATCCCCAGTGACACACTGTGGGGAGGAGAAAGCTCCTTTTCCTCCTGACCCTGAAGGAGTTCTGGCAAAAAAAGCAGCCAGGCTTGGGTTAATTATTTCCCCGAGCTCGAGGAAGCGGCGGATGGATCGCGCCGTGCCTGACCCCGCTGCGGCCTCCTCTTCCCTCAAAGTTTAACGCAGCTTTTTGGAACTCTTATCAACTGAAACAAGAGATCTTCCTCGGATCATAAACTCTGAGGGGAATCAGTAAATCCTGCTATTTTATTGTGCTGACCTTTAGACCACCATCTGTCTTTTGGCTCTTCAGTTTATATATGAGAAAATGCCATGAGGTATTGGTGCATCCGAGCTTCCACCACCACACACAGACCCTAAACCCTTCAGCACTGAGCTCAAAGTTACATTTTTATTGACTGACTGCTTGAAGCAATGGATAAGAAGGAAAAAAATCCTGCTCGTTTATAACCACTTTTAGTTAATGCCAGTGAGCAGGATTTTTTATTTGCTTACATCATCTACTGCTAAAGTCCTATTTTCTATGTTAAGTCTGCGTTTTGAAAAGTCTTTGGCATTTTAATTGGCTCAATATTTCAATTCTCTGTCAAAAAAGAGACTTGCTGAAAAAAGCACCACCTGATTTCTCTGTGGGTTCCTCTTTCTCAGAGCCCCCCAGATGCTGCTCCCCCTGGGCAGAAGTTTGCAGTGCACTGGCTGCAGTTCTCACCTGAACCTCTCCCTCTGGAACAGTCTGGCAAATCCAAAATCGTCTCCACAGCACCAAACAGGAGCCCTCTGCCTGCACCTGGCTCCCAATGTGGGATTCCAGACCTAGCTTTGCATTTCTTCTCCTCCACCAAAGAAAGAGCCAGGGAATGAAAAGGCTACAAGTGGCTGGAGCTCCACAGAGCTGGGAGGGAGGATTTATTGTGGGAGCTGCAGCTAAAAACATTACCTCTGGTTCCCAGTTCCTCCTTTCCTGCTGTCCATCTTTGCACAGCTCCAGTCTGGGTATTGGGACTGTTCTGCCTTGGAATGGGGCTCTGGAGAGCAGGGAGGAGACACCACAGGAGGTTCAGGTTGGAAAAGCCCTCAGAGACACCGAGGCCAGCCCTGCCCAGCCCTGTCCCCAGGTGCCACATCCACAGGGCTTTCAGACCCCTCCAGGGTCGGGGACTCTGCCCTGCTGCAGGAGGGACCCACAAGGATGGAGTCCAACCCCTGCCCTGCACAGAGCAACCCCAAAACCCCAGCCCGTGTCTGAAGGTGCTGCACTCAATGTGAACGTCACGTGCAGTGAGGAGCTGCCTCACACCAGGGAAATGCTGCTGAGAGACAATTATTTCCATTTAATTTAGTGGAAGTAATGACAACCCTTTTTATTTTTTTTCCTCAGCACTGCCCAGAGCTGCCTCCAGACATCATTACCTGAGGCTTGGGATGAAGCCAACAACCCACCCCAAAAAAGGCAGCACCCTGCAAGCAACACTCCTGTTCTCAGCTCCCAAGGATTTAGACAGATTCCAAATTTCTGCTGCCCTTCAGCCATTTTGCATTATGCAACCCCCAGTGTGCATTTTTATTTTCTCCCAGTATCCTGTGCAGGTTGGAACTATTAGGATCTGCCAAAGCTTACCCATTTTCAGATGTCTCAGGAGAAAATGAGGAAGGCCAGAGGGTTTTTTTTTATACCAGCAAATAACAGTTTGCTTGCTTCAGTAAGTTAGAGGTTAATGGCTCTGCATGAGAAAACAAGGATCATGGCCAGTTCTGAGCAAGATTCAGTTTCCAGTTGCTTGAAAACTGAAAAGAAGGTCAGCATGCCCAGCCAGGTTCCTCTGTGCTTTTGTTTTATTCAGCTTTGCAAATCAGAGCTCTCTGCATTGCCTCAGTCTCTGGTGTGAGAGCAGAAAAAAATGAAGTTGCAAGGCTGAACTGTTGTGTTATTATGTTCCCCATCTTATTATCTAAATTGCTGTGCCACGAGCAGATCCAGCCCAGAAGCCTCTCTTGATCTATAGCTCGGGGACCAGGACTGCTGGGTTTTTCAAGCCCTGGTGTGTGTACACGAGGCTGGAAGCATTTGGAAATCTGTTTACAAGCTGTCCAGTGTAATTGAGAAGGATTTTTCTTGTGCCTTCGAGGTCACACACATCCAAAGGTGAAACTTGCTGCAGCAGCTGTTTTAAAAGGATCAGAGAGGGAGAACTATTATTTGTGGCCTGGGGATCAGGAAGGGGGAACCCCCTGGGAACTCTAAAGAACTAAGGAATAATGTAGATGATGCACTGAGAACAAAGTGAGTCAGGAGAGGAGAACCTGGGAAGAAAGTTAATGAAATTGGAACAGATTGCCTATTGACAGAATTTCTGAATCTCCACAGCTTCCCTTCCTCTCCTTTGCCTTCCCTCACCTGTGGTCCCAGCTGGGAGTGGGGTCAGGGCCCTGCCACCCCCTGCTCTGTGACGTGGCAGACCTGACCCACCAGTGTCACTGGAGGGTAGAAATTTTGGATTCTGGTTCTGGATTCTCCACGGATTTCCTGTGCAGGAATTTCAGGCAGAGCATTTAAAGCCTTCAGTGAGCGTTTCCTCCCCAGAGCTGGGCAGAGAGGTCAGGGACAAAGCGGGGGGCAATTAACAGGAGATCATTCCATAAGTGCATCA